GTCGGAAATAAGGTGTTCTTCATCAAGAAGTTTGTGAACATGAAGTTTAGGGACGAGGGATCTATTGTAGAGCACCTGAATGAGATGCAAAGCATTGTTAACCAACTCGCAACGATGAAGTTGTTCTTGTAAGATGAGCTACTAGCTCTATTTTTGCTCTGTTCACTACCGGAACTATCAGAACTAAGGTTGTCGACGGAACTCGCTACTAGCTCTGTGAGACTCTCGGAACTATCTGACAATGGTTGGAAGAAAATGTGTTCCACCATGTATTGGTGAAAACAACCGCCAAGTCATTATGGAATTAACTACATGACTTGTACGAGAGGAAAACCGTCGAAAATAAGGCGTTCTTCATCGGGAAGTTTGTGAACATGAAGTTTAGAGGGATCTACTACAGAGCACCTAAATGCGATACAAAGCATTGTTAACCAACTCGCAGAGATGAAATTGTTCCTGTAAGATGAGCTATTAGCTCTTTTTTTGGTCGGTTCACTATCGGACAGTTAGGAGACCTTGTTAGTCTCAGTGAGTAACTCAACACCTAATGGGACACTGACCATAAGTAAAAGAAGTAAAAGAATAGATTTTGAAAAAGTCAATTTGTGACTTGGCCAATTTTAAAAATAATCCAAAAATAAGGAAAATGTAAAATAAATATTTATAGCTAAAGCACTTTCCAATCTTTGCCAAAATAATAAAAAGTATAAAAAGATATATTACAAATGATTTTTGTTGAATTTTTTATAATTGTTTTTAGGGAAAATTATGTAAATATCCTTTTTAGTTTTTGCTATTATGAAAATACCTAATACGTTTTGTTATTACATGTATATCCGTTTTTTTAACTTCACAATAATTTTATTTTAAAAAAGATGAAACGACCCTTTTTTTTTTTTCAAAAACAGAAATGAGATTGATTTTAGTTTTAAAAAATGGAAAATAGCCGCCTTCTCTAAACTCTGCTTATAGCCTTTCGGTCTCCAAACTCTTGATCCGTTAGCAAACCTTTCGTTGAAAACGTTTTTTTAACTGGTGGCTTGGAGAAACATCAAAGCGTGTTTCTCTCTCTAAACCTCCACCACTCAATGATTCTACTGATTCTACTGCTTCCGTTGAAGCCCACTGGTCTCTGCAACACTTTCAAAAGAACAGATGGGTAGGGCGAGAAATATTTAAGAAGAAAGAATAAATGGAAAACTCGAGAAATCTGGATCTCGAACTCGTGGATCTTAGAGAACCAGAGCTTGTGCTGGACCTTGATTCTCTCTTCTAAAAGCTTCCTTTCATCGGGAAAGAACTCTGGTTAAGATTGCTCTCTTCTGAAAGCTTTCTTTCATCTGTAAAGAACTCGAGTTGACATTGCTTCAAATAGGGTTCAGCAATGAATAGAAGAAAGTGGGTCTGAATCAAAAGTGAGACAGACCCTCTCCTCCTCTATAGAGTCTCCACTCTTAAGTTCCTTATCAATTCAATCGAAGGAAACTTCAGGAAAGAACAACCCAACTCTCACCTGTATTTCAATGTAAACAAAAAAGAAGGCCGTTAGGTAGAAGAAAGCCCAAATCCCTCTCTTTCCTGTACTTCAATGGAAAAGGAAACAAAACCCAAATCCCTCTTTTTCTCTCCTCGGCTTCAATGTAAATGAAGGAAAGCTTGAGGAAACAAACCCCCAAATCCCTTGCCTATATAACTAAATGGAAATGAAGCAAATGTTAAACAAAAAAAAAAAAAAAGTTTTTGAAAAGCCGAAATTATTAAGATTCAAGCTTTTTAAAAACTGAAAATTTTAAAAATTTTGGTTATTCAAAACTGAAAATAGATAGCTTCTATCTTTTTTTAAAAAAAAATGTTATGAAATTAAAAAATAACAGACATATATGTAATAAAAAAAAAATATTAAGCATTTTCATAATAACAAAAAATAAAATAAATATTTTTGTAATTTTTCCTTGTTTTTAATATCCCATGATCACCAAACTACGGATACGATTGAGTTACTTGGGCGAGCCGTAGTCGAACGACATTTATCTCTTTCATTATTTGCAGGTCTAGTTGTTAACGTTCAATGGGGTCCATTTGTTCAATACAGTTTATTATCTAGGACTTGATTTTTTTTCCTCCGAACACTAATTGACATTTTTATGGGAAAGCATGCAATACGACAATTTATTTTTGAACAAGGATATCCACTACCTCTAGCCGTCGGATCTGAATTAATACGGCTAGCAATGTGCCTAGGACTATGCTAAAAATTTAAGTGAATATTCTTAGGCATTATCCCAGAAAAATGATATATTAGTAGTCACTTGATTTTACATCTAACAGGTAAAGGTGATTGTAACTTTTATACTATAGATAAAAGACTTCATAGTATAAGGAAAAAGTTTTTATAGGGTTGCAACTTTAAAATGTAGAATTATAAATGCACCTCAAAAATCTATTTGACAAGGTTGTTTTAATGTTGGGAAAAATTCTAATTGATATCTCAACATCGAGAAAAAAAAAAAATTTGAAACTTAGAAATAGTGCATCTTGCAATACATCATCTAGACCGTCTATTTTCAAGATTTTCATATGTTTATATATGTACTTGATTTTAGCTATTTTTGGAGTTTAAAATTTTATAGTTAGATATGAAAATAGATTTTGAGATAATCCTAAAAAAAAATTTCGCCAAAATTATACGTAACGACAAAATTTGGAGGTGCACCTTAATTGGATTGTTGAAGGTTGCGACCTTATAGAAACCACACCCATAGTATAAATTTACATGTGTTTTTATTTTATCAGTTCATTTGAGGCATCCATATATAATATATACCCAAGAAAATTTTTTGGTTTTTTGGATAATATGGTTTTTTGGATAATAGGAACAAAGGAATTCGAAAGGGTTTTGGAGGTTTAAATGGGTTAGATCAGATCCAAGTCAACCCCGACATTGACCCAACCGACTAGCTTGTGTTGGGTCGAGTGTGGCGAGATGTATAAGAAACCTAAATCTAATTACAAATATTATATAATATAGAATTAATATTATTTATAGGAAAAATTTTATATAAGTGTGAGGCTCGGGCATGCCTCAAAATTTTCACTAGATTAGGTTGTTTTGATCCTCAAATTGATCATCTCGACCTCAAGATGAATGGACATGAGAAAAGAACAGATTCCAAGTTTTGGAAATAGTGATCTTTTGATTATCAATTATCAAGGTTTTCGAGTTTTCAAAGATTTGCTTGACTTACACTATTTTGATCTTAAAAGTATAGGTGTAATATGAAGTGCTCCACTTACATGTGAAAATTACAAAAAAGATCGGTCAACTTGTTTTATTTAAAAAAAATAAAAATTGCTCCTCGCCCAACCTAAATTTGGATTTAAAAAAAAATTTAGTTTTTTCATTAGTAGGGAGCCTTACAGTTTGGGGCATTGTCCTACTAAGAAAAAACTAGAAAAAGCAAAAATATCAAAATTTGGGTTGATTGAGGACAATTTAGGAAAACAATTAAAAAATAACGGTTGACCGACCTTCTTTGTAATTTCCATTTATAAGTGAAGTATTTTGTAATTTACCTAAAATGTTAGGGTCCATACGTCAATCACTCTAAATTTTATAATTAGATATGAAAATATATTTTAAGGCTATCACAAAGATTTCCAGCATTGAAACCACATTTCTCGACACTACTTGAAGGGGAGCTTTACTTGAATTGTTTAGAGCTTTGGCTTTACAAAAATCGCACCCTTACTTATATGAATTATATTTTATGTAACGGAGAAGTGTTTGATGAGTCGATTGACTCACACTATTTTTTTGATGTCTCCCTACAAAATATATATCGAAGATGAATTTTCGATCCAAAATTTTAGAGTTCGATAATCTCAACCATGAAAATGTCTAAATTTTGAATTTTTCTTTTTTAAAAATATAAATATTATTTTTCTAATTTTTTTCTTCATCGTCCATTTTAACTATTAATGGATGTCACATTTTTTGTTAGAAATGATGTTAGATAGACAAGGGACGATTATAGGTGTATCGGTTGACTCACAAAAAACAGTATGGACATGACCCGAATGGACATGACTCGAATGGACATGACCAGAAGGGTCCAACACCGGAAACCAGCTCAACTCGACCTATTGGGTCGGCTAGTCAACCTGATCCAATTGCCACCCGGTGATAGCCATCAGGGCGAGACCCCCAATCGCCACACCCACGGCGCTCTATATATACTTGCACTCGACTCCCCACTTTAAAAGGACATATTACATGTCAAGTTAATATGGAAGGTATATTTTATATTAGAAATTATCCTATAGGACCCTCCCCCAACTATGTGTGTAAAATCCCAAAGGATCACCATTAAATTTGGCACGGATTTATAGAAAAGTCAAGTCCCACATCTATGTGATAACTTTTTCTAAAAATCCGTACCAACTTTAATGGCGATCCTTTGGGGTCTTGCACACATAGGTGGAGAAGGATCCTATAGGATTATTACTCATTTTATACCTACTCTTCTCATATATTCTTATTATAATAGCCATCATGACAAAATCCCCAATCGCCACATCCACGGCACTTGTAATGGAATCCCTAATTCATGTTGTACATCAAGTTAATATGGAAGGTATATATTATACAGATTTTTCTCATTTATTATCATTACAATATATACCTTTAAATGGAAAAGGACAGGATATACAATATATACCTTTTATATCAACCTGCCATATTAACCTGATCCAATGCATATCTTTTATGTTAGGTATTAATCTAATGAGAAATGATCCTATAGGATATACGTTCATTTGACACCCACAATCCCAAAAATAAATTCAATACAATCTCTCTCTCTTTATCTCTATCTCTTTCCCCCCAAACTTTAATCAGCATGGCACGGCTTGCTTTTTCTTTCTCCACTTTGTTGTGTGTGGCCATGTTCTTTGGGCTTTGGCTCCCCATGGTGGCACCTCGACAGCTAGAGGAAGCCACGATGTCCGCAAGGTTTGCGCAATGGATGGCGGACCATGGGGTCAAATATGAGAGAATCGCAGAGACAGAGAAACGCTTCAATGTCTTCAAGGAGAACCTCAAGCTCATAGACTCTGTCAACGCAGAGAAGCGATCCTACACGCTGAGTCTCAACAAATTTTCCGACTTGAGTCTCGACGAATTCCGTAACCAGTACATGGGCTTGAACGTAGATGCTGCTGGTCGTAAGATGGCCACGAAGGGACCTTTCATGTATGGGAATGTGTCGGCAATGGCAGCGGCACCGGATACCATGGATTGGAGGGCGAAAGGCGTAGTGACTCCAATCAAGAACCAACAAAATTGCGGTACTTTTTCTCAAAACTTTCTAAGTTTATGAAGACTCCATAAATGACTGTATAATTAGCTTTGCTTTGCTCACAGGATGTTGTTGGGCATTTTCGGCCGCGGCGGCGGTGGAGAGCATAACAAAGATCAAGACCGGAAACTCGGTGTCTTCGTCTGAACAAGAATTGGTGGACTGCGTCACTGGTGGGATAAGCAGAGGTTGTCAAAGCGGCCTTATGGATGAGGCATTTAAGTTCATCATAAACAACGGTGGCCTCTCCAGCGAGAACGATTACCCGTACCAGGCCAAGGACGGCACATGCGATACACAGAAATCATCCTCTAAAGCAGCCACAATCACTGGTTTCCATGACATTCCCTATCATGATGAGAACGCAATGCTCAGTGCCGTCGCCAACCAACCAATATCTGTCGGTATCAATGGTAGCGGCTCTGAATTTAGGCATTACTCTGGGGGTATATTCACAGGAGCTTGCGGCCTTGATTTGGATCATGCTGTCACTATTATTGGCTACGGAACTGGTGACGACGGCACCCCCTACTGGCTAATCAAGAACTCCTGGGGCGAATCATGGGGTGAGAATGGGTACATGAAGATACAGCGAGGCGTCAACCTATGCGGAATCTCAAACTTGGCCTCCTTCCCTCTCGCATAGTCCACACCAATGGTTTAAAAAAAGGATCGGTGACCGGGATCGGGCACCCAAAAAATCGATCCGGATCGGCGAATCGGCTATCCGGATAGGGAATCGGGTGAATCGGTCAGAATAAAGCTTCAAAAAAATCCGAAACAATTATTAAAATTCATTATAAATATTATTTTTTAGGAATTCAATAAGAAATGAGGGTACTCCATTAAGAATTTTCATGTTTTTGAATTAATATGCGAATATTGATATGTTCTTTCCCTGCATGAACTGCCATTCAGCATTTAATTCACATCACACAAAAGGATAAACATATAATTATCATGGAATAAGTATATCAACATACATGGACTACAATAAAGCATAAAATTAGTAACATACGATCTAAAAATAAAATGATAGACGACGTTGTTGTTCTTCTTGGTCACGCTGGTGCCATTGATTGAATTCGTTTGACAATTCATTGATTCGATCTAAAAACGAATCATCGATATTAGCAGGCGTTTGACTATTCCCAAATCCCTGAGTGTTAGTGTTTTGTTGTGTTCCCAATCCAAAATCCCCGAAGCTTGTCTATCCTTCATGCTCACCTGCACTGTCGTGCTCATCCCTACACTGTTGTTTTTGGGACTCGATATGTGAATAATATGGCTGGGATAGGGTGGCCTCAGAATCATCATCTCTCTCATTTTCTCTTAGACTCCTTCCCACTCTTCTTCATTAGGTGCAATATCACCGACATCTCCGACGAATTGTGGATACGTTGGCTGACTGCTTCCTCTTTCATGCTGCTCATCACTTTCTTCGAGATCTTCATCACCGATAGCCTCAAGGAACGCTCTCTTGTACGACACTGGCTCCTCCTCTTCTACTACCCATTGGTCTATTGTGTCTGTGACAAATATTGTGTCTAAGTCTATCGGCCCATAGTCTTCAAGCTTCCTTGTTATTTGTCGCTCTCTGAGGTTTAAATTATAATGAACATAGACTAACTTATGAAGCTTCTCAGACGCGAGTCGATTCCTCCTAGTAGTGTGCAACCATTGGAACGTACTCCAGTTGCGCCCACAGCCAGTAGCAGAACATGTCTGAGAGAGCACCTTGATTGCTATCCTCTTTAGGTGAGGTGCATCAGTACCATATATCTCCCACCATTCAGCTGGATTAAAATGCAAAAAGTATTGTAAGGGCTAGAACAATTCATAAGATTAAATATATGAATGCACAAAATATTAGCGAAGGGATAACCTGGATCCATCATAGCTCGAGAATTTCTGGCAAGTCTAGTTCCGAAGGATCCTATAGCATCCCTATACATAGCAAGCTAAAACAAATATATTACGTTTTAGTGCATTATTCCTCACAAATATAACAACTCAATCAAGTTCTTACCCAAACATTAAATAATACCTCTTGTATTGCTGCTACTTGGTTTCGATGGCTTCTCTCTAACCTTGCAATAATGTATCTGACCCCTTCCATAATCTTGTGGGGTTGTTCAGGTGTCAAATAGAAAAATTTTGCGTTGAAGTAATAACTTAAAAAATATATAGGTAGAAAAATGTCATTTACAATTTCATAAAAAAATGATTTAAACTGAAACATTGTAATGATATAAATATATATTTACAGCATAATGAATTGGACGTCGAATTGGTGTTCACCTCCTTTCTATAATCTCGTATCACTTTGTAGTCAAA